CAAGAGGAGACCAGAAGAGAAGGGATTGCGGCGTGGCCATCCCCCCTGGGGAGTGATTTCTCGCTTTCTGTCTCTCTGGCGAGCACACGCACCTTCTAGCAAAAACCTCTCCAAAAAAAGAAAAAAAAAAAGAAACCAAATAGGGTTAGATTAGAAAGAACCCATTAAAATGAGCCATTTAGAGGCTGCTCATATTTGAGAACAGTGTAGGATGAGTTAGGGAAAAGAATCAGATTCCTGCGGATTTCCATTGAGTGTGGAGCAGCAGTGGCAAGAATAATCTGCAGGTCAGTTAAAAAGGTAGGTGAGCGTAGCAGTTATGTCGCTGGACTCCTACATGGCTCACTGTGGTTCAAGTCCCGGACACGGTGACTTGAATCTGACTCCAGGAATGTGTGCATATGTGTCCAAGATCTCAGGAAGAGAAAGGAGGAGAAGGAATTGCCGAGTGGTCTTTCCCCCAGGGGGTGGTTTCACACTTCCCCTCTCACTCTCTCTGTCTCGCTCTCCATTGAGCACGTCCACCCTAAGGCAAAAGCCTCTCAAAAGGGGGAGGGGGTTCGGGATAAGTGAATAGGCAGTTATTGGAGGGAGTTTTGTTTGATTGTGTTCTTTTCAAGTTCCCAAGTGTGTTTATATCTGAAAGAAAAAGGAATTACTGTTGCAAAAGAGATTTAAACGCTGCCAAGAGAACCGAAGTCCTTGAATACTGTGGAAGGGTGTTCAGAGTGTGGCGTCTTCCATGGAAAAGACAGTCTGAGAAGTGACAGCACAAAGTGGAGAGTCCTGACACTGGAGTTTAAGTGCCAAGTATTAGACGAGTAAAGGAGAGGGCCAGTAGCTCTGAGGGAAGGGAGGGAAGCGGCCTGGTTTGCTGTCGTGCGCTAAATCCCTCCACAGGCGCTCTGCTCTGGCTCTGCGGCTCCGCGCAGCCCTGCGCACCACGGAGTAGGGCCCCCGCTCGGCGTGGCGCGGCACGGCCCAGGAGAGGATTTCCCTGGTCCAACCTGACAGGTGACCTTCGTTGTTCTGGTACAGTTCTTCACCCCCCATGTGGATGTCGGGTCACGGCTCGTGTGTTCTTGGAGAGCACAGCCGTGCACAGTCTCTGTGAGTTGACAGAGAAGCCACACCCGAAGTCCATTCTCAGGCTCATCCTTAGTGTGTATTCTGCCTCCGAAGTTCTCCAGAGCCATGCGGTGAATACACTCTGTGCTGGGAGTCCAGGCTGGCTTGGTGTGACACACATTGCAGGCAGTGTCCCCGCAGATGAGCCTGTCAGTCAGTCCCAGTGCTTGCTCCAGTGTGCAGTGACGAGCAGTCGGTGAGGCGGTGGCAGAGAAAGAGCAGCCGCAGCGACGCGGTGCATGGGAAACTGTTAGCGTCGGCTCCTTAAACAGAAGGTCTGAGTCCTGCTAGAACACACATCGTCGCATGTGTGAGAAAAATCTCCTTCCTTTTTTACATCTATCTCCTAAACTTTGAGTCTGTGGAGACTTTCAGATGCCTTAAAATATACAATTCCGTGAATTCTCCCTCTGGCTCTTTGATTTCCGGGAATGCTTTTCTGTTTGTGCATGAGTAGTCGCTGCAGGTATAACCAGCGCTTCCCAGACATTCCTCCTTGTCCCCAGTTAGATCTGAATCATCTCCATTCGCTTAACTTTTTGTTTTTATCTTAAAAACAAACAAACAAACAAAAAAACACTCATATCTTCCTGGTCTAAGTATTTCTTGGTTAAGTATTCTCCAGTTCCAAGTGAGCCGGTCCCCTCGGCTGGGGCCCCCTGGCATTGTAATACGGTTAGCATTGGTTTTCCCCTGCTCTGGCACACGTGCAGGCGTGGTCAGCTCTGCACTGTAAATACCAACATCCACCTAAAATTCCTATCGGCAGGGAAAATCTGCAAACTGACCATCTACTCCAGCTGAAGCACCGCTTGAAAATGCTTTGTTTTTCCTCCTCAGATTTGAGCAAATCTGTAGCGAAGTGCACTTGTGCTCTGGCGCTTACGTTGGTACATCTTGATTGTAAATTGTCAATTCTGTGCTTTAAGTATTCTAAAGTCACTAAACACCCGGAGCCAAATTAGATATTTGGAGAGACTTTGTAGCAAGAACAAATGCCTCCAGAGAAGATGCTTCTGTGGAGAAACATTGTGACGATGAGCCTAAGAGTGCTAATAACTTTTCCTTTTCATGTAAGCCAATTTGGAGTCACATTTCTGAAGGCAAAGAGATGAGACGGTGGAATTAGAAATGAATCAAGTATATTGCATCCGAGGTTCATTTTAAGGTATATTAGCAACAAGTAAAATGGCAACTTATTTATAAAAAGCTTGTTGCTTTTCCTACCAGTGACATGAGAATATTCATTTATCAACCACAGATGTGTTGTAAATGTTCACAGGAAAGCCGGTTAAGAAAACGCCAAGCTCATTATCATGGTCTGTTTTCCCATAATTAAATGGGATTTTGTATGATAATTTCCATGCATGTTTGTGTAATTTTATCTGAAAAGTTAATAGGATATGAATCGAGTTCACCAAGTATTTTTAACCAGTAACAGGAACCTCTCATTCTGTTGCTGTGTTTTGGAGAGGGAATAAAAAAGTCACAGCAGTTTTTCCTCCTTAGTACCCAGATTTGTCAGTTATCTATCAGGAAGGTGAGTTTGACCTGTGTCGTGTGGGATTGCACGCATGGGGAACGACACTGAGTCGGCAGGAGAGTCGTGCCATTCTTCTGTGAAAAAAACGTATCATGACTTTTCCAACGACCAAAGTACGCGATACTTTCCTGGCCTCCTGTGATTTCAAACATTAATATTTGTGTTAAACACCGATTTATGAAATCGATGCAGACTTAGCTGAATTTTCAGTCTGAATCTGTGCGCTCATACCTTCCTTGCTAGATACGTTTAC